TGCAAATCACCCCCTCCCCTCTTTCTGCCACGCCCCTGCTCGCATCACAGTGCAGGCAACGCCGGCAACGCCTAGACTGCCCTGCAGACCATTCCCCGACCGACGCATTGGCGAGTGGCGACTCCCGGACCCATTCATCACTCGTCCAAACTGCGCGCCACTGCGCCACGCGGCCGCAGGAACTACACAGCACAGTGGGCCAGAAGACCGGTGGAGGCGGCCAAAACTCTAGACGCGTTTTGAGCTCCAGAGCCGCTAAATGAGACTCGAACCGAACGTGTGACCCCACCAATGGATTGCTCTCTGAACGAGGAATCCTTTCGTGGGTTCACACGTTCGGTTCGAGTCCCATTTAGCGACACTGGAGCTCAAAACGCGTCTAGAGTTTTGGCCGCCTCCACCGGTCTTCTGGCCCACTGTGCTGTGTCCGGAGAGGACAGGCTCGGGTTCGACTCCCAGCAGCACCTGCAATTTTTTTGTTGTTTTTTCTTCCTGACATTTGCGCCCCCTTGGCCCCTGCTGCCCCTGGCGGTCGCACGGTCACACCTTGTTAGCACTAACGACGAGCAAACAAACCTCGCATTCCTCATCCCAATCCGAGGCAGAAACGGGCAAAACTTGATAAAGTCATTAATCTCGGGGCACTTAGGGAGTCGGCCGGACGATTCCGGACGGAAGTCGGGCCTCTGTTTCCAAACACGGTCGACAACCACCCCTGGCTTCCAGTGTAGTGGCAGCGCCTGGCAGCCTCGCAGCCCAGGCCCCGCAGGTCTCCGCAGGTCCCGTAGTCACGCGAGGGACAGCCAGCCACCTGCTGGCGATTCGGACTCATCAACCAGAGAGAGAGAGAGAGAGAGAGAGAGAGAGAGAGAGAGAGAGAGAGAGAGAGAGAGAGAGAGAGAGAGAGAGAGAGAGGGGACTGACTACGTCAACGGGCCGCTGCAATGTTTGGCTTTCTGGCCGCAAAGTAAGAGAAAGGCGCCACCCTTGTTGAAAAGCCCAAAAACAGATTTAATTTCGGGACTTGAACCTGTGTTCCCAGGGTTGAAAGTCAACGACGGTACGCCCTCGGCCACCCCGCGGAGTATCAAAAGGTACCGCCCAGGTCGCTCCAGGCCGGTCCCCAAACACCGCCAAACACACGTGGCCGCACGTGCGCCGTGCTGCCCCGTGCTTCCGATGATGTTCAACGCGCCGCGTCAGAGCGTGGCGTGGCGTGCGTGGCGTGGCGTGGCGTGGCATGGCATGGCGAGGCGCGGTGCGGCGGCGCGTGGTGGTCGCGTGCCCCGTCGCGGCGTCGCGACTACTCAACCGGAGTGCCGGCGCACCGGTAGCAATATGGACACGCGGCCAATTTACCCGCCCCAATTTCTAATTTCCGGCAGCATCGCTCTGTGACACAGTGGGCCAGAAGACCGGTGGAGGCATCCAAAACTCTGGACGCGGTTGGAGCTCCAGAGTCGCTAAACAGGACTCGAACCGAACGTGTGACCCCACCAATGGATTCCTCGTTCGGAGAGCAATCCATTGGTGGGGTCACACGGTCGGTTCGAGTCCCATTTAGCGACTCTGGAGCTCGAAACGCGTCCGGGATTTCGGCCGCCTCCACCGGTCTTCTGGCCCACTGTGCTTCGCGTCATGCCGGTTCGAAACAGCCGGCCCGGGTCAGAGTGAGTCATTTGCCGCATTTGAATGGTTTGACGATTTGCGCGTTTATGTATGTGCATACATCACACTCATCTCGTCGCGTTTGGCGTTTGCGGGTTGGCAGCCTTGGCAGCAATCTGTCCGGGCGGGGCCGCGCCGACCACGCCGAGCACGCCGAGCACCCCGACGGCCACGTCGACGGCCACGCCGACGGACAAGCCCCCGGCCCCCACACTGCACGGCCCCGACGACGCCAAGTCCGCGAACGGTGCAGGTGACACGCTCCATGCATTCAACAAAACAATCAAAAAATTGAAATTTTGGGAAAAATATGTAACACTTTATCTATTGCTGTTTGCATGGAGATCTGTTAGTAAATTGGCAAAAGTTGGTGAAGTTGGCAAGTTGTTTCTTTCCCCCTCCTGCGAGCTTCTCCGATCGGCCTCCGGTGGCCTTTGCCTAACGAGGCATGCAAACCTTTCTCCTTTCTTCCGTGCCACCCCGAGGCCGTCCCTTGGGTTCGCGGGAGGGACAGAGAGCGCCCCTCGCAGCCCAGACTGACTTGGGTCGGGGCAGCCCCGCACAGTGGGCCAGAAGACCGATGGAGGCGGCCAAAACTCTAGACGCGTTTTGAGCTCCAGAGTCACTAAATGGTACTCGAACCGAACGTGTGACCCCACCAATGGATTGCTCTCTGAACTAGGAGTCCATTGGTGGGTTCACACGTTCGGTTCGAGTCCCATTTAGCGACTCTGGAGCTCAAAACGCGTCTAGAGTTTTGTCCGCCTCCACCGGTCTTCTGGCCCACTGTGCCCTGTCAAACCACGTGCCCATTTGAATACGGTGCCTCGCGGTGGACTTGGAGAACCTCGTCCTCATCAAGGGTCTCCCGAACGCCCCATCAGTCAGCCGAGTCGCTCTGTCTCCCTCGCACCCTTATGGAGAGCCCCGTGAGTGCGACAGAGACAGGGCGACGGAACGTGCCGTGGCCCGTGCCCCTCGAAACAAAGACGGCCCCCTGGCGGCACCCCGCCGACGGACAAGGAGGGAACCGGAGGGAACCCTCCCGAATTCCAATTTTGGCTGTTGAAAACCCTCAAACGGTAAGCGTTGCAAGTGCCACCCTTAGAATGACTTGCTTTTAACTTCGTTGCAACGTTCGAGCAATCCATTGGTGGAGTCCCATTTAGCGACTCTGGAGCTCTGCACGCGTCTAGAATTTCGGCCGCCTCCACCGGTCTGCTGGCCCACTGTGCGACCGGGCCCCCAGCCTCGACCCTCGGTGGGCCCCGTCCCGTTGGCGGTGACCGCTGACGGCTCAACTGTCGCGGCCTGTCCTCGGCGACCGGATCTGACCGGCCCAAAGGAATACCGGCCTTATTTATGGACACAACCAGTACAGTGTGTCCATCACTCGGGAACACACCCACCACGGGCCCACGGACTCAGGGACACGGGACACAGATGGGACACCCAAATCCAGGCAGTCCAGCTGCGCTTCACAGAAAACTCCCACGATGTACATCAAGTGAAAGAGTTTCCAACCTCAGCGTGCCTTCTATGCCATAAGGGCTTTTTTTCTCTCGACAAGTTGCCCAGTAGGCAAGCGGAGGTTGGCAACCCTAGCAACTGTCAATTTTCGATGCAGCACTGACGAACTCCGCGCGTCCGACTCCCTTGACGCCGCCCTGCCGGTTGGGTTGCCCAGTAGGCAAGCTGAGGTTGGCAACCCTATCAACTGTCACGCCGCCCTGCCGGTTGGGTTGCCTACCCGCCCGGCTGAGGTGCACTCTGCTCCCCGCGCCTACAACTTTGGCCGCCTCCACCGGTCTTCTGGCCCACTGTGCGGCGGCGGCGTGGCCCGGAAGTCCTGGACGCTGATTGGCTGGCCAGACTCCAGGCGGCCTGCCATTGGCTGCCAAGGCGGTGACAGGTGACCCAAATATTTGCGAAACTGCACTGTTGAGGCGGGGCCCGCCCGCCGTCTTCGAACCCCACACCGTAAGTCGAATTGGTCGCTTGGATTTGTTGGATCGCCGCGGTGCGCAAAATTCGTGGTAATTGGTTTGTCTGGCTGCGGGATGGGCCTCAAAGAAGCGGCGGTCGAAAAAGGGGTGCGATTCCGGGGAAGAAACGGCGACAAATTCCGACGCCGTTTTTGCCGATCGAATTGCTTCATCGACACATTTTTGCGGAACCCGGCGGCGAGACACCTCGCCCTTCGGGTCCTTCGGGCGTTTCGGGCCTCAGCCGCACAGTGGGCCAGAAGACCGGTGGGGGCGGCCAAAACTCTAGACGCGTTTTGAGCTCCAGAGTCGCTAAATGGGACCCGAACCGAACGTGTGACCCCACCAATGGATTCCTCGTTCGAAGAGCAATCCATTGGTGGGGTCACACGTTCGGTCCGAGTCCCATTTAGCGACTCTGGAGCTCAAAACGCGTCTAGAGTTTTGGCCGCCCCCACCGGTCTTCTGGCCCACTGTAGCGCCGGCCTCGGTCAAACTTCCCCCCGGAATCTGTGTCGCTGTCTCCCTCGCACCCCTGCGGGGCCTTGTGGGGCCTTGCGGGACGCCACGCCAGTGCGAGAGAGGCAGAGCCGGCAGAGCGAACGCCAAGCCGCTCGGCATGAGCCTGCTGCGTCGCTGCGGCGCTGCGGCTCGCAGCGACATCGTCCGGATGTCTAATGAGAGATGACTAAAACATAAGAAGCGGCTCTCGAGTCTCGCAGTGGCTGTGGCTCCCCGCGGCGCCACGCCACGCCGCGCCACGCCGCGCCACGCACAGCCCTTTTCTTTTATCCGGCGGCGCGGTTTGAATTTTCATGGCTTCATTAAGTTGCGACGCGCGAAGTCGCCCATTGGCGGGGCCATCATCCTCACCGGAGCCGATGTTTGCTTTTCTCCTTTTGAGACGCGTGTTTGTGTTTCTTGGCTCTGTGCGCAAAAAGTGGCGGGCGCGGCGCCGACATGGAAGCTAAGCGCTACCGCCTGCAGTGTAGGCAACCCAACGGACGCGTCGGATGGGCGGCCTGCCTCCAAGGCGTCCAGTGGTTGCGATTGCGATTAATGGCTGGACCACAAATGGTCGTCTGCCTTTCGAGCCCGCCCCGCCATGTCCGCGCGCTGACGCAGACGCACTGTGGGCCAGAAGACTGGTTGGAGGCGGCCGAAACTCTAGACGCGTTTAGAGCTCCAGAGACGCTAAATGGGACTCTGGAGCTCAAAGAATCTAGAAATTTGGCCGCCCCCACCAGTCTTCTGTCTGGCCCACTCTGTGATGATGAGTCTGGGGAGAGCTTGCAAATACAGCCCAGAGGTAAAATGCTGTGATCCGCTCAATAAAGGAGGCGCAAGTTACATTGGTGTTTCTTTATTTACCCATTATCTTATAGATAATACATAGGTCTCATTATCAAGGAACTTATTTGTCAGTGGAGGCATTGGTTTGAGTTCAGTGAGAGATGTGAGACACAAGGCATAAAATTGTATGCTCTAGCCTTGTGGTGTCACAAACAGAAATGGTTACCACGATGTTCAGTGCCAAAGCCACAACAGAGAGTTGTGCATTGGATACTGTAAGTCCATCATGTTCCTTGAGAGCATGTCTAGGGCACTGCTCTGAAGGCGTCAGATGTAACAATGCAAGCCTACCAATCATACGAGCCAAACCCCAATTTTAATTAGGCGTTGGCCAAGCAGCAAGAATAAGAGAAATTATAAATTTAGCTGCACACATCAAGTTTCTTAAAATCAAGTCCTCAGAACTATGGCAGTAAAAATTTTTAGGGATATGTTTTAAAATTACATTTTACCTTTTTGGCGCTCATGGAAAAAATTTGAACTTGGTAAGGGAAGGCAAAAAGACCACCGTCTACTTTGATATAAAATAGAGGAAGAACATGTGAGATAGACATATCTCTGAACCAGTAAAGTCTTATATGTTTGTTTTTCCACTGATCTAAACTCACAGTGAATCACAAAATACTGCAAGTACACCAAGTAGGCCAGTACAGTGGCACCGTTTAAAAGCCAGAAATGACTCACTGCATAAGGGGGAGGTCAAGATTCAGTCACAGAGATAACAGGAGGAATTACAAAGATGAAATCAGACACATTCTATAAACATAAATTAAATGAATTTTGCTAAAATTTCAAAGAAAGGCCACATACACTTTCCACATAACCTTCTTTTGTGAACAGCAGAAATGCACATTGAGCCTGATCAAGTTAAAACAATTTTCAACGTTTAATCATATGATTAAAACAAAATCTTGAGCTTTGTAAGCAAAGTTATCAAAAGCAATAAGAACGGACAAAAACCTCAAACAAATGTTTTAGCACTACATAAGATGAATAGAATTTTTTAACATACAGGCGTATTTATATAAGGATCTATCTATCAATATATATCTTAAATTTATATATTTCTCTGAAGATCTTCACATTAAAATGTGAAACAAACAGTAATAGCATGTTTCCACAGAAAACATGGTTTCTTAAAATTAAGAAAAAATGAAGATATTTAACATGAAACAATTTGTAAAAAGGGGGAATAATACATGGCAGCCAAGTCAAAACAAATAAGTCAATAGTTGGCCATGGACTGACTGACCTTAAAGCTAAAGCTCAATCAATAAATATGTTAAACCAGACAAAATTATCTTGTTCGATCACACACAAAAAAAGAAGAAAACACAAATGAGTCACAATAGGTGGTGAGCCAGCAGTCATCAGTTATAGTTGGTGGAGATTTGAAAACAAAATTATAAAATAAAATAAAAACAACAAAAAGGGGGAAAGAACACAGAAAAACCAACCATGATAGATGCTAGCACACCAAAGAATAGAAAAAAGAACAAAAATCTGGAGAAAAGTCGTAACTTTCATTTTATCGTACTATATGTTAAATTAACAAAACAAAGATATAAATTTGCTGGTTTCTTATTTACAATAAAAAAAATGCTACATGTAAGAATCTTGTAACAGTAGATTTGGTTCATTAACTACAAGTAAAAAATCTTTTCTTTAAATTAATGTTTGTAACATTTCATAACACACAAATTTGAGCACAGAACTCTCGCACACACACACACACATAAAATAAATGTATACTGTACATGTATGAACATACAAACACGCGCACACACTAACACGCACAAAGACACACACTGACACCAGTGATCATCAGCGACCATTGGCAGTACTCCATATCTGAATGCGATACCTCAAGCACTCATTGATGAGACATAACCACACAGTATCACAGGAGGAGGGTTTTGCATACACATATACAAACTAGAAAGCTACATGAACGAAATGAAGCAATTCAGATTTGCTGAAACTTTCAGCACTGTTAAAACACATTAGATGAACTCCAGCAACACTACCCTTAATGTTACTTGTGTTAAAAGGTGGGTGATTTCCTTCCATTGAAGGACAGAACAGAAGTATAAAAGTATCAACACACAGTAGTACAAAATACCACAAACTTGTGTTCTCATTAACTTGATCATATGACTTTGCTCTAATTTATGCTACAATCTTCATGGACATAGTGCTTAGATACCTTCCACAGTCAGTCTTTACGTCATTTTAAAAGTACAATGATTACATTGTCTAACTCATCTCTTGTCCTCAAAAGGTATGATCTTTTAAATACATTACATAGGACTAGAGAGATTCAGATAAGTAACAGTAAATATACAATTCAAACACCATCAAAAAGGATGTTTCACACAATCATGAAGCCTGACCTCATACACAGCCCACATGTATGTTTCATCTTTGAGAGTAAATATGGACATTTGTCAACAAGGTAAAAAAAAGACGGACAAATATCAAGCCACCATTAAAATCTGGGGCCAAATAAAATGGCAGAGGCTCACCTCACAATTCAAGGTGTATCAGAGAGCCTCAGAAAGTCAAACAACTACAGTATCAATTTTAACTTCGTCTTTAACAATGACTGGTGATGGAGGATTGGATGGACATTTGCAAGATCCATTCGGAGTTTGAGAGAACTGCGCTGGAGGAGTGCCTGGGAAAGGAGGGGGAGCCGAACTCAACGTCCCTGTGCTCTCTGCTGACACTGTGGGCGCCATGCCTCTGGGCATGTGGATCAGCAGCGCGCCTCTCTCCATCTGGTTCACTTCCTCCCCACGGTTGTTGAAGTTTGTCGATGAGTTGTTGCGCTGGCGACACAGGTAGGGAGTGTCTCCAGGGGATGGCGAGTCTCGTCCCTGTCAAATAAACAAACACAGCCAAGTCAGCTACGTAGTAAACAAGTTCAGATTGCTCTGGAAAATGCAAATAGGGAGAGGGATGACAAGGAATAGTTCCAGGGTACTACCAAAATTGGTTTGATCAGTGTAGAGAACCAGAAACTAATATCAAGATATAAAAAGTCATGCTCAATTCAAATTTCTCATCAATAAACTTATCAGGGAATCAAAGCCATATTGGGAGAATAAAACACTGTTACAAATACGCCTGTTCCCTACAGTGGAATGTCACTGCTTAATTAACACCACAAGCACAAGGTAAACTGCCATGCAAAAAAATGGCTGTTAGATTAAAATAGCTTTGAAAAACGGATTTTTAAATCGAAAAGAAAAGGGTTTGGGGAGGACACATAAGGAGCTTAGTTACATAACACTGTATTAAAAGCACAGAAGGATAACATTCAAACAACCATGAAAACATCCATGCAACATCATGCTACGCACCCCTGTCTGTGGGTGAAGTCTAGGTGAACCCTGCAAGGCAATGCCCATTTTAAGTTACTTTTTCTAGCCTATGAAGCAAGGTAAGATAAGAAATAGACGGAAATAAAAATAATACTACACAATAGGTACTATGTGAAAGAACAGTCACTTTCTTTCCTTTCGATTCCACTAGGGAATGAGATGTGAGCCAGAAAAAGACACAGCTGAAGCTTTTAGATGAAACCCATAGAATTCCAAAAAATAAAATGAGAAAATAAAATAGGTAGGAAAAAAAGTAGTTTTGCGGAATTTTAGACAGTTGGAACAAAAGTATGGAATTTAAGAACAGCTTGTGACTGCAGTAGGCACCCTCAGGCTCTCTGCATACAGCGAGTTTTGGGACACCTGAAGGAATGACGCATCAGCACAGAGTTGGGGGAAGAAGTAGACAGAATCTTTTCAGATAGTCTGCACAACAACTTACATGCTTTGAGGGTCCACAGCATGTGGACAAAGCGCAGGGCTTGTCCGTCTTGGGGCAGTCCAGCACACAATCTTCAGTGGGTCCAGGCTGCACAGTGTCCTCCGCAAACTATCCAACAGACAAAGTGGTCAGGCACACATAGCGTAAGAGTACAGCCCACGGAAAGATGAGTTTTAACAATAGCATTACTCACATCACCAATTTCAATGAACTCTGGTTGGATGGTTGTTGAATGAATTCCCTCATTATGGAAAAATTCCTTGACTTTCTCAGCTATTTTCATGTACTCGGACAAGTTGCGAACTCTGAAATGAAATAGATGATAATTAAATAAAAGTCATAGCAAAAGTAGAAAAATTGTAAAACATAACAGCTAATTTTCACAAACCTGATGTGAGCTGAGGCAATAATTCTATCGCCAGCAAGCTGCCACACATGGAACTCATGTACAGCTAGAACACCATCAACTTTGTCTAACAGTCTCCGCTGTATAGCATCAACTTGGATGTGTGTTGGCACAGTCTGCAGAAGGATGAGGGCAGATTCTTGCAGCAATGGCCACACCGCTCGCAAAATCAAGATCACCATGACGATGCTGAGGGCAGGGTCCATGTACAGCTTGTACTCCCAGTCAGTAAGCCAGACCACCTGAATCCAAATACAAATATTAGAGCCCATCTCAACTACAACACATTCCTCAACTTTATGATAGATGACATGATAACTGACCGAAGCAGATACAATAACAATGACAGAGCCAAGGGCATCAGCCATTACATGAAGGAAAACGCCTCTCATGTTCATCTGAGATGCAGATGGTTCTGAAGGTTGATCACTGTGCCCCTTATTGTTACTGATTGCAGCTGCCAAAGCCGGTCCAAGAGGCGGGTTAAAAGTTTCATCATTTTCATTGTCATCAGTGGAGACAAGCTGGGTCAGCCGGGTGTGACTGCGTCCAATACCACCATGAGAAATGCCACCATGTGAGTGACCATGCCCACCATGTCCATGTTCTGGAAATATAAACAAGGCAATAGAATCAATGGAGGCAGATCCTCAAAAATTTCTTCATCTGGCTGGAAATGCACGGACATACCATGGAATAAACACAGTCCAATGAGGTTCACAAGAAGACCCAAGACACCAACAACCACAATAAGTCTGGGTTCGTGAATTTCCTCCACCTCAATGAATCTGAAAAAGTAAATTTAAGTTCAGGTGAATAAGAGGGCTGACAAGATTGTAAGATAGCCAGAAAAGAAACTTAAGACAAGCTTTACCTTTTGCAAGCTTCAACAGTGATGGAAAAACAAAGAGCTACCAGAAAAACTGCATTCACTAAAGCACCCAAAACTTCCGCTCTTGCCCATCCAAAGGTATTTTTGGACCATTTCTTTGGTGACATCTGAAATTTTGTCACAAATAATTCAATTAGAACTCAGTTACGATCTGTGGTACATAACTTTTTTAAAAACACAAGATAGGACAACATACCTTAACTGAGAGGAAGGCCACCACTAAGGCAGCCACATCGCTTAACATGTGAAAACTGTCCGCCACCAAGGCCATAGAATTGGTGACATAACCAACAACTATTTCGACTAAGAAAAAGAATGTAGTCAACCAAAACATTGAGATGAGGCGGCATTTTTTACCAGTATAACGTCCCATCTTGAAAAAATTCTGAAAGAAACACAAGGTGAAGGAAAATTAGACCAAATGCTTAAAATTTTTCTAATTGTTTTCATTTTTACATATGTAATGAATATAATGCCCCAAAAAAAGATAAGATACTGAAATTAACTTAATGTGAAAATCTTTGAGAATTCAGCTATAGAGCCAAACGTTTCAAGTGCCCGTTAAGAGAAAACTGACAGGCATTTGGACGAGCTGCTTGACAGTTACAGCACACAAAAGAAAATGTGAGGTTAAAGTTTTGATGTTTATAGACTTCACAAACCCTTCTTGTTCAACTGGGGAATCGACGACTAAATTGTGGCCAGGAAAGAAAACTAAATTCATAAGAACTTGAAAACATCACGGCGAAGCGCGACAAGTCACGACAGGAGAACTTTTATTCATTGATCAAACATTCCCATGAGCCAATGAACCTAACCCCCAAACAATGAAAGCCAATATTCCTTTCGGGCAGCACACTGGAAGGCGAACTTCCCTCGCGGCCCGGCCGAAAACGTCGCCCACTTTCCAGGAACCCGATTAGAAATTCGGCATTGGCGGAAGGGCCGCGCTTCCAGACCTTTCCAAAGCGACCGTACCCGAGTTCTTTCTGCGTTGGTGACTTTCCGCGGAACTGGATCACTGCAGCATTCTCGCGAGACACTTCCAACGGCCTCTAGCGCGCTCTCCTGCGCGTTGGAAGGCCCAAAGCTGGGGCGGACGACGAAGACGACGGCGAGGCGGTTTGTGGCGATCGGACCGCGACTTCGAGTTGGGTTTCTCCTTTCCCACAATGGACACTCTGTCGCAGTGTTCGTCCGCCGTCGCGTTCACGTTCAACTTCAAGTCTGGAAGGGGTAGGCAGTGATGAGGTCACGGGTCCGACAACCGACAAAAGACAGCTGAATCAACAACACCGCGCTCCACGCGCACGGAGCACTGCGCACGATCGGGCTCGCGTGCACGCACGCACGCGGCACGCGCACGCACGCTGGGCTGGGGCTGCCACGGGAGTGAGAGAGAGAGAGAGAGAAAGAGAGAGAGAGCGCAGGCGCGGCGCCGGCCGCCCTTCCCCGAAAAGTGGCGCGAGATTCGAACCGCGGCAGCGGCGAGGCGAGAGCGCACAGTGGGCCAGAAGACCGGTGGAGACGGCCAAAATCCCGGACGCGTTTTGAGCTCCAGAGTCGCTAAACAGGACTCGAACCGAGCGTGTGACCCCACCAATGGATTGCTCTCCGAACGAGGAATCCAATGGTGGGGTCACACGTTCGGTTCGGGTCCCACTTAGCGACTCTGGAGCTCAAAACGCGTCTAGAGTTTTGGCCGCCCGCGCCGGTCCTCTGGCCCACTGTGGAGCGCTCGCGCCCAGGGCCGATGCCTCTAGATGCGCCGTGCACGTGTAGCGACTGCACTCACTCACACACACACACACACACACACACAGCGACGCGTGCAGATGACAGATTGGCGTGCAGCACCTCGTCGTCCGGGACGGAAGTGTCAGACTTGGGCGGGGAAAGCTTCCAAGCTCGCGCTTCTCCTCCTCGCGCGGGACACTCAGGACTCGGTTGGAGGAACTGTCCGCACCGTTGTTGTTGTTGTTGCTGCTGGGATGGCCCGGCGTGCTTGTCGTTGTTGTCGATGGCTATCTGGCCGGTGGCACCTTCTCCCGGATAAGCGACGCGAGCGACGCGGTTCACTAAACGGCGGAAACGGGGTGGCTGCCTGCGGGCCTGCGGCGGCGAGGCGGGCAGGCCGTGCTTGTACAGTGTCGCGGACAGGCGGGTGTTCGCGCGGCCGCCGTCGGATGGCGAGTGGAGTCACTACAGTGAGTCAGGCCAGGCAGCCCGTCGGCCGCGGGGCGGGGCGGGGCGGGGCGGACGGACTTCCCTCCTCGGTCCCCTCCGCTCCGAACGCACAGTGGGCCAGAAGACCGGTGGAGGCGGCCAAGTCACTAGACGCGTTTTGAGCTCCAGAGTCGCTAAACAGCACTCGAACCGAAGGTGTGACCCCACCAATGGATTGCTCTCCGGACGAGGAATCCATTGGTGGGGTCACACGTTCGGTTCGGGTGCTGTTTAGCGACTCTGGAGCTCAAAACGCGTCCGGGATTTTGACCGCCTCCACCGGTCTTCTGGCCCACTGTGGAACGCAGAGAGTCAGCGCGTCGCGGCGCGGCGGCCATCCAGCAGACTGATTCTGAGAGTCGTTTTCGTCGCTCTGTCTCTCTCGCACTCATGCTGCGTCTCGGGTAGGTGCGAGAGAGACAGAGCGACGGAATCGGTCCGCAGCCTTTTTGCCATTTTCCCCTTTTAGTGCGGCGGTGTGGCCCATGTTTCTTGCGATCCTCTTAGGCGCTTCTCTTCTTGCGGCGACCCACTCCTTTAGGAGATCCTCTCTCTTTTTTCGGCTGCCCGCCTCGCCTTTGCAGTGGTATGCTGTTGTGGCAGGTCTTCCTCGCTCCTTGGTTGTACTGTATGGCCGCCAGTGGGCGAAAATGTAAAATTCCCACCAGGTACAGTGGGCCAGAAGGCCGGCGGAGGCGGCTGAAATTCCAGACGCGTTTTGAGCTCCAGAGTCGCTAAACGGGACTCGAACTGAACGTGTGACCCCACCAATGTATTCCTCGTTCGGAGAGCAATCCATTGGTGGGGTCACACGTTCGGTTCGAGTCCCGTTTAGCGACTCTGGAGCTCAAAACGCGTCTGGACTTTCGGCCGCCTCCACTGGTGTTCTGGCCCACTGTAGGCCCTTCCGGTCCGATCCTCTGCCGGATCCCTTGGCATTGGCCGCGCCATTGGCCGTCCGTGGAGGCCACACTGCTAAACCTGACGCGGCGTGACACGACTCGGCACGTGTGACGACGCGGCCTGACGAGGCCGACACGCGACGAGGCGTCACAGGCGTGACGGTGCCTCCAGCTGATGGCGTGCGCCGCGCGTCTGTCTCTCTCGCACCCCTACGGACCGCCCCATGAGTGCGAGAGAGACAGAGCGTAGAACACAGCCGTCTTGTTTCGTCGCTCTGTCTCTCTCGCACCCATACGGACCGCCCCATGAGTGCGAGAGAGACAGAGCGACGCGTCGCACCGCGTCATACGAGCACGCGTCTTGCGTCCACCGCCTGCACGGCCTGCACGGCCTGCACGCGGCTGCGGCGACGCCTTTTCATTCCAGAGCCTTCGCGCTTCGCGGAAAAGCGTCCCCCGCGCCGCACTGTAGGACTACGCCACGCCACTGCTAGCCACTGCCGCACAGTGGGCCAGAAGACCGGCGGAGGCGGCCAAGTCACTCGACGCGTTTTGAGCTCCAGAGTCGCTAAACAGCACTCGAACCGAACGTGTGACCCCGCCAATGGATTGCTCTCCGAACGAGGAATCCTTTGGTGGGGTCACATGTTCGGTTCGAGTCCCATTTAGCGACTCTGGAGCTCAAAACGCGTCCGGGGTTTTGACCGCCTCCACCGGTCTTCTGGCCCACTGTGCGCCGCCGAGAGTGACATCGAGGCGTTATCGCTCTCGCTCTATCGCCTCGACTAGCCTCGCTTTGCTCCGACTTGGTGCAACGGCCAATCGGCGGGCAGGGCGTGCGCAGGCATGCGACCCACAGTGGGCCACCGCCGCCACCGCCGCGGCCGGCTAATGCGTTTTTTTGGCATTCCCCCTCCGCCGCCCACGCCGGATTGGCTATCCTCCAGCGCGTGGAGTACTGTACCACTTTCCTCTACCGAGTTGGGTAACCAAGGTAACCACGGTAACGGCGCGGGCTGCACGGCGACCACACATGCAAAGCAGGAGCCATACCATTGTCCCCGCGTCTTCCTTTCCCGTTTCGTTTTCATTTTTGCCGTTTGCGTGTTATTTCGGGAGCCGCGGCCGCGCCGGCGTGGCCGCGGGCGTGGCGGCGCACAGTGCGCCAGAAGACCGACGCAGGCGGCAAAAACTCTAGACGCGTTTTGAGCTCCAGGGTCGCTAAATGGGACTCGAACCGAACGTGTGACCCCCACCAACGGATTCCTCGTTCGAAGAGCAATCCATCGGTAGGTTCACACGGTCGGTTCGATGCCCATTTAGCGACTCTGGAGCTCAAAACGCGTCCGTCTCACGAGAACATGACGTCACATTCGTTAGAACTCGGCGCATGTCTCACGTTCGGTTGAATGCGGCGTCGCAGGGAAGGCCCGATCACGGTGCAATGCTTGTGGCGATACCCATGACGATGGCGATAACCATCGAAACCTCGAGTTTCGTTAGGTTCGGTTACGCTGCAGCTGCCGGCCCGACAGTGTGGCGGCGTGGCGCTGCTCTGGTGTGGCTCTAGCGGATGCACTGGAAGATGCAATCAGCTCGTCTCCACGCACATCTGGCCGTTTGTTATGGCTATGTCTCGCACATGGGCGTTGCCTCGGCTGCCGCGGCGTTGCAGAGCACCAAGTTGCAGTTTCCGCGGCTCCGCCGCGTGGCACACAGTGGGCCAGAAGACCGGTGTGGCGGCCAAAACTCTAGACGCGTTTTGAGCTCCAGAGTCGCTAAATGGGTCTCGAACCGAACGTGCGGCCACACCAATGGTCTGCTCTCCGAACGAGGAATCCATTGGTGAGGTCACTCGCTCGGTTCGAGTCCCATTTAGCGACTCTGGAGCTCAAAACGCGTCTAGAGTTGCCGCCGCCACCGGTCTTCTGGCCCACTGTGTGGCGCCTCGCAGACTCGCTCGGCCTCTGTCGCACTCATGGGGCGTCCCGTGAGGCGGCGAGAGAGACAGGGCGACACTCTGGCAACCGGTCGGCGACACGCACCTGCCGAGCTTCTCTGCACTCGTCGAGTCGGTCTGGGGTTCGAGTACCGGCAGGGTGTTTCGTTTTGAGCGGTTTTGAGTCAGCCGCGCCGGCGGTGCGTGCGTTGCGCAAGCGTAGTGCTGTTCAGCATTCTAGCAGCACAGCGGCACGGCGGCAAGGCCCGCGGCCCGCAAGGGCGCCATCGCGCCGGGTTCAATGTCGGCCGAGGCCCGAGGCCCACAGGCCCTGGGGCCGAGCCAGCGCAGGCCAGGCAGCCGCGGCACAGTGGGCCAGAAGCCCGGTGGAGGCGGCCAAATCTCGAGACGCGTTTTGATCTCCAGAGTCGCTAAATGGGACTCGAACCGAACGTGTGACCCCACGAATGGTTTGCTCGTTCGCAGAGCACTCCATTGGTGGGGTCACACGCTCGGTTCGAGTCCTGTTTAGCGACTCTGGATCGTCAAGAGTTTTGGCCGCCTTCACCGGTCTTCTGGCCCACTGAGCGTAGGCAGCCCGCCAAGGTGCTACGCCACTGCCTTGTATTGGAGGAGCCGGGGTCAAAACATGGTGTGATCAGACGTGAACGGCACCAGCCAGCCAGCAGACCGCCAGGCCGCCAGGGCCTTGCCCGCCGGCCGGGCCGTGGCCGGCGTGGCCGGACCCAGCGGGCCAATTTAGGAACGACGGCCGGCCGCGGGCCGCGGCGTCACAACAGTGCGGACGGAGTAGCGGCGGTCAAGCAAGTGCGTGGACTGGCGCGGACGGACCATGGTCGCGGTCGACTAACTTCACCTCGTGGCGTACCCGTTCCGCTCCACTGGCCCCTCGAGCAGCCAACAGCCGGAAGCTGGGTCGGAAGGTAATCTCATCCAGTTATGGACAAGGCTGGAAAACCTTTTTGGATTGCAGTGTTTATGCCACGTGCAGGTGAAAATTCCCCGGCCGTTGCACCCGTGGCGAAAGGGTTGCCGACCTTCACCCTGCCTACTAAAGTCAAGAGCAGCCCAGATGTAGTCTAAAAGTCACGCTGAGGTCGGCAAGCCTTCCACGACATATCGGTGGAATGTTTGCCGTGCTCACTAGAGCCCCTTTTCACGTAAAAACGAAATCACACGACACCTTGCAGACTTTCCTTTCGCTGGCTAACGACTGCGCGTCGCTGCGCGTGCTGGACACACACGGAGTGCGAGCGTTGAAGAGAGTTGCATCGGGAGGAACGACCACCGCAGTGGCCCAAAGACGCGTTTTGAGCTCCAGAGTCGCTAAATGGGACTCGAACCGAACGTGTGACCCCACCAATGGATTCCTCATTCAGAGAGCAATTCATTGGTGGGGTCACACGCTCAGTTCGAGTCCTGCTTAGCGACTCTGGAGCTCAAAACGCGTCTAGAGTTTTGGCCGCCTCCGCCGGTCTTCTGGCCCACTGTGCAGGGCTTTGCATCTGTTTTGGTTCGCGGTGCGCGAGTATCGCTGTCTGTCTGTCTGTCCGTCCGTCTATCAATCCGCGGCCTGTCCGGCCTGTCCTACTTCATCAATTGCGCCAAAAGTGGGTGACGCGCGGGGCCGCTTCTGGAATGGAAGAGTTGGCCGCAGCCGCTGCATTGTCCGTCGCATGCGTGCCAACTGCAGACCGAGAGTCGTCTTCGTCGCTCCACGCGGCACGCCCATGAGTGCGAGAGAGACAGAGAGACGGTGCGACTCCACGGCGGCGGAACGCTGATTCGAACGCGGCCTGGCGAGTGCGCGGTCATCACGGTGCCATAATACCTGGCGAGCACTGTTGCCAACCCAGCGGACTACCCGCCAACAAAACAACAACACAAGCAAATGGCGCGAGCATTGGGTGCTGCTGGTGCTGGCATGCTCTGCGCGTGTGACCTCACCAATGGATTCCTCGTTCGGAGTGCAATCCATTGGTGGGGTCACACGTTCGGTTCGAGTCCCATTCAGCGACTCTGGAGCTCAAAACGTGTCGATTTTCGTCCACCTCCACCGGTCTTCTGGCCCACTGCAGAAGGGCGCACCGATCGCTGCGGGAGTGCCAAGTCCCTTAAAGCACGTGAAGCACGTGAAGCGCGTGAAGCACCCGGCCGAAGGCAGACCGGAGGTACCTGCCATGCGGCTGTCCCGCGGAAGCGTCGGTAAGTCGAAGACTGAAGCAGACGAGTCGGTAGACCGATTCCGAGAGTCGTTTTCGTCGCTCTGTCTCTCTCGCACCCATGGGGAACGCCCTGTGAGTGCGACAGAGACAGAGCGACGAGAATGACTCTCAGCCTGCAGTCGAGCCGCGCAAGGTGATCCGGTGAGCTCTGCCTGCTCCGCCACTTTGACACACCGACCACCACACCGCGAGCAATCCACTTCTTTTTCCCGCCACTTTTTGCAATGCCGGCTTCTTGTATCACCCGACGCGGTCTCGGAACGTCTCGCGGGTTGTCGTACAGTCCGCTGGATCCGGTTCCGTCGTCTGCTGCGCTGCTACGGTCGATCGTGCAAGGTTGGGGTCAGGTTGCCCCCAAGTGCACAGCGCGCCAAAACTCTAGACGCGTTTTGAGCTCCAGAGTCGCTAAATGGGACTCGAACCGAACGTGTGACCCCACCAATGGATTCCTCGTCCGGAGAGCAGTCCGTTTGTGGGGTCACACGTTTGGTTCGAGCCCCATTTAGCGACTCAAGCTCAAAACGCGTCTAGAGTTTCGGCCGCCTCCACCGGTCTTCCGGCCCGCTGCGCGTGGCTGTGCGGCCGTCTGTGTGTTTGTGTTTCTGTCTTTGTCCGGCGGCTATTCGTGTCCGCTTTCCCCGTTTGACGAGGGAGAGGGAAGATAACGGGCGATGACCCGCTCGGGATGAGCAAGTTTGAATTTCGCGCAACTGATAACAAAGGTTGTGTTTGATCCCTTCGTTGCATTCCAAGCGGTCATTGGCGGTCGAAAGGACACACGAGTCGGAAGGAGTAGGATAAATTTTTTAATAAAACAGTTTTAGATAAACAGTTTGATAAATTTTTAATGGCATGGGTGCTTTACAACACAATTGGCTCATGTACAATCGTATCGCGGCGCTTCACAAAGCTACATTCTTATCGGCAGATTTAAAGACCAATCGGAAGCAGGTCACGTTTAGCGGTGGCGGTACCTGCAAAGTGGGACTACGCCGGGGCGGGCAGGTATCTCCTCTGCAGATAGTTGCTATCTATTCCCACGATACCGAGGCAGACAGCGCTACCAGCGGCGGGTATCTCCTCGAGATTATCAGATCAATGTAGCGGACAGCCTGATAGCGTGCTCGACTTTTACTCGTGGATGTGGGCCACGTGTCTAGGGGCTCCGGACGAACGCCGGACGGGTTGCTAACCTCAGCCTGCCGGCTAGGCAACACCCACAGTGAGCCAGAAGACCGGTGGAGGCGGCCAAAATCCCGGACGCGTCTCGAGCTCCAGTCGGTAAATGGCACTCGAATCGAACGTGTGACCCCACCAATGGACTGCTCTCCGAACGAGGAATCCATTGGTGGGGTCACACGGTCGGTTCGAGTCCTGTTTAGCGACTCTGGAGCTCAAAACGCGTCCAGAGTTTTCCCCGGCGGCGCCGGTCTTCGGCCCACTGTGGGTCCCTTGTAGCTGGTCGGCTCCAGCCAAACACAAGCAAGGCTTGTGTTTTCCGCTGTTTTGCGCGCGCTTTCACAGGGCGTGCCGTTGGGGTGCGAGAGAGACAGGCGAGGGCCTGCCGACGCCCTCCGCGCCCTTCACCTTGGCGACCCCGGCAAGCAGGCCAGCCAATTGGAAGGGAAGGGCCAACGCCCAAGGGCTGCCCAAGGGCCGGGGCTTTGTCCGCTGTGCTTCGACAAAAGGGATCATGACTGCGAATTGGAAACGGCCAAGCCTGCGGCAGGACCGGGACGACCGCCCTGGCGAAACTCGTTGCTGAGTGAGCCGTTGGCGGGGCCCTTGACGGCAGCGGTCTCTCTCGCACTCGAGGGGCGTCCCGCACTGCCCCGTGGGGCCCCCTGGGGGTGCGAGAGAGACAGAACCACTTGAAGAGGCGCACGCTGATTGCGGGCTATCGCACGCTCCACGTGCGCGGCAGACATTGTATGTACGTTATCACCGGCCGTACTACCGCCAGGCCGAGTCCGGCAAGTCCGACGAGGAAGCAAATCACTTTCGATTACCATAACGCCATTATCAAGGCTCTCGCACGCGCCACGCGACGCAGTGAGACGCACGCCCGTGCGTGTCACGTCACGGCCGTGTCCCTCGCACAGTGGGCCAGAAGACCGGTGGAGGCGGCCAAAACTCTAGACGCGTTTTGAGCTCCAGAGTCGCTAAATGGGACTCGAACCGAACGTGTGACCCCACCAATGGATTCCTCGTTCGGAGAGCAATCCATTGGTGGGGTCACACGTTCGGTTCGAGACTTGCTTAGCGACTCTGGAGCTCAAAACGCGTCTCGAGTTTTGGCCGCCTCCGCCGGTCTTCTGGCCCACTGTGCAGCGTGACGACGTGACCACGGCAGCGGAAGCCACCTCGCCGACGTGCAGATAATTTGGAGCGGCCGGTCAATCCCGGCACTTGGCGCGACCAGATTAGAGATCGTCAAAGCCATACGAGTTGACAGCAATGTCACAGTTTTCTTTCTAATGTGAATGGGGCCCGGGTGATTCGCATTATAGCACTCTGGACGACCAACGTTCTTACGAGAGTGACGTCACATTCACACAGTGGCCCAGAAGACCGAATGAGGCGGTCGAAATGCCGGACGCGTTTTGAGCTCCAGAGTCGCTAAATTAGTCTCAAACCGAACGTGTGACCCCACCAATGGATTCCTCCTTCGGAGAGCAATCCATTGGTGGGGTCACACGTTCGGTTCGAGTCCCGTTTAGCGACTCTGGAGCTCAAAACGCGTCTAGCGTTTTGGGCGCCTCCACCGGTCTTCTGGCCCACTGCGCGGCCGGCTGCCGGTGTATTACAGCCGGGCTGCGGCTGGAAGTGTCCGTCATGTTTCGCCCTTTATCTACGCCACCGACCGCGACGACGCCAGCAGGCAGCGCAGCAGCGCAGCCAGCGGCGGGCAGTGCTTCGTGTTTCCCCACGCATGCCGCTCTTCCCGCCCGCACTGTGTAGAGCGACCTTACCCAACACACACAACACAAACCTGGGCCACGGGCACCGCCGCGGGCACGGGGCATGGCATCATGATGGCATGGCCGCACTCGGCCGCACTGCAGACTGATGCCGCTGATGCCGAGAGTGCTATCGTCGGTGTGCCTCTCTCGCTCTCACGGCGCGTCCCGTCTTGGCGCGAGAGAGACAGAGCGACGGGACGCTGTGCGGGTTCCGTGCAGCCCCGGCAGCGCAGCCCACACCGGTGTGCGGTGGGCTGCCTACGCACCCGGCACTACGCTGCACAGTGGGCCAGAAGATCTGTGGAAGCGGCCAAAATTCTAGACGCGTTTTGAGCTCTCGAGTCGCTAAATGGGACTCGAACCGAACGTGTGACCCCACGAAAAGATTCCTCGTTCGGAGAGCAATCCATTGGTGGGGTCACATGTTTAGTTCGAGTCCTGTTGAGCGACTCTGGAGCTCAAAACGCAGTCTAGAGTTTGGCCTCCTCCACCGGTCTTCTGGCCCACTGTGCGCTGCACTACGCCACGCGGCAGTGGCTCGGTGATTACACCATAGTTAGTCAATTGCGGCATCAGTCAGTCAATCAATAAAATCCTTTTTTTCCCCAAAAATAAAAATTCATCAAAAATTCTTTGGTTGCTTTGTGTCGAGTAGTTTGCATAGTATGTACTAGTTCAGGTTCGGTCAACACTATAAAACCAACTTGTTTGTTTCACATTTTGCAATTTGAGGAAGCCATTGATACAATGCATGTTGAAGCTTCCTAAAGTTATTTGACAACTTTGAGCTGGCAGTAATTCACGTCGTATACTATGAGAATGATCGCATAGTTTAAGAAAAGGTAAACTATATTCTCTTACCTTCAAAATCACAGACAAGACAGTGCATAGGAAGCATTAAAGAACACTACATTGGTCCTACTTGAGCAATAGGTCAGTGACCAAAACTTCCTGATATGTCATTTTCACTGAGTTTTCTTGATGAACACAAAGAACTTCCTATTGCACCATTAATTAATCTAAACTTAGTTAAACTTAGAATGCTCTTACATCACTGAGAGGCCATACTTTATACAATACTCTTCCAGTTACGAGACCTTGGGGCACTGGTCCAAACACTCTGCTGTCTCTAGAATTGCTGCCATTGTCACCTTCTAGCCACATGTGTCCTTCTGGAACCTGGGGAAGGTAAGAATTACCATTGAGAGTTTTCCTCCTCCATATAGGACATAAAAAGAAAAAAAAGTAATAGTGTTTTAAAAATATTATGTGGGACTAACCTTGGTAAAAGTAAGTCCATATCGTTTGATATCCCCAGGCAGACCCATTAGTCGCTTCACAATGTAGCCGTCTGGATCAAACGGTGACCTTAAAACCAAGATATTACCACAGGCAATGTTCCTGGGATGTCTTTCTCCAAGAATGATATCTCCTGTGTGAAACGTTGGTTCCATTGAAGGACCGTTGAGCTGAAAACAAAAAGAACAAAGAAGAGAGTTGAATGTTTTGAATTCGAAGATTTAATCAAGTACACAATTAAATAGATTATCGTTAAAATTTATTCTAAATAACAAAAGCATTAAAATTGAATACAAATAAATTTCAGTGAGTTCAAGTCCATGTCACTTGAAATAATGAAGTCTTAAATGGGAGACTGCTTACGTTAACTGACATGCAAAATAACTTAAAGAAAAATCCTATGAACAGATCAAGTTTCTAAATACTGTCAACAAATGCTTCTGCAACACTAAACTGGATATTAAAAAAGAACAGTGAAACCAAATAACCTATACACATTAAAGTTGAATGAGTTAGAGGACTAAATAGATTTTCTGTACTCACGCCGACAAGGAAGTAAAAATCATTGAATAAAACTCGCAATGAACAAACGCAGCCGATAGACTTGAGCAAAATTCCACCACAAATTCTCCACTTTGATTTCATGGTCAAGAGAGCAGAAGCAGTGGTTGGTGGTGCAGCTTGACTGTTGGTAACAGAAACGGCCACCGGAGAGCGCGCGCGTCGCGTCGTAAGAGAGGAGTGACAAGAAGTGACAGCTGTAGTGACAGCTCAACATGATCCTGACAGCTGCTGATCAGAGAAATGGGAGAGCAATGAATAAAAAAAAAACACGCAATCCGCAGTTTTTATTCTTTTGAAATTTTAAGAACTAGATTTGCAAATACATTCTAGACATCATTCAACCCCTTGAATTAACATTTTGTAAGCAATCAGTTGCATTAAATAGAAATTAGCTCAAACTAAATGATTGATATCATTGAAATAAATTAAAATATCTTACGCACTGTGACACTTCAAATTAAACTCAAACATTGATGAACAAAATAAACAGAAAATAAGGCCTTAGCACAAACAAAAAGAAAACAACAAATACAAAACAATGGAACAATATCAATTGTTTGAAAATTGTCATTGATCTGAAAATAAAATTGACATGATTGGACTATGCAAATAAGAAATGGGATCCCAACATATCATCAATGCAGGAGGTATCAGCATTCTCCTGTTCATCATCCTCTAGAAGAGGCTCTTTCTCTGCCTTTGAGTCAACAGCATCATTGAGTAAAGGTGAATCTTCTAATGCTGAACCATCGAAATGCTTGATTATTCCATCATTATCTTCATCCTTTTCCTGAGTGCTATCTTCTTCGGGGGGCTCAGCCTTGACCAAAACTTGCTCTGGGTTTGGGATTTCAGAATCACCTGCATCCTTGAAGTTGGCTTCCCTACCATCTACATCATCTTGGAGAATTTTGGCAATTGCTTCAATTTCCTCTGGGTTAGGTCTGGAACCAGTGTCTAAATCTTTGGTGACTTCTTTGGCTTTAGCTTGCGCTCTCTTCTTCTTTGCTGCGGATGTAGCTGCGACACGTACTTTGGAAGCGCCTTCAGGCTTATCTGATAAATGTGTTTTTACTACATGTGTACGTAGGTTGTCGGATCTGATGGACAGAATTTTCATTGATGAGAGCAAGCAAAATTAATTGCATTAATCTGAAAACACACAGAACAGCATACAAACCTCGAAAAAGTCTTATTACAATGCGAGCAAGGGTAACTGTCTCTAGAGGAGTGCTCCATTTTATGTCGGCTTATAGCCGACCAAGTGGCAAAAGATTTGCCACATACACTGCATGCATAAGGTTTTTCTCCAGTGTGTGTTCTGAAAAGAATAGAGAAAAATTGTGATCAGCATCAACGTAGTAATGTAACATAGCTGGTATTCAGTAAAAATGACAAGGAGGATAATTCCGAGTATCTCTACCTGTTGTGCTGATTAAGATGATCTGCTCTGGCAAATGCTTTGTTGCACAGTTCACAGACAAATGGTTTTTCACCAGTATGTGTTCTTTCGTGAACTGTCAGCGCTGCCTTCTGGGCAAAGGACTTAACACAATAAGAACAGGAAAATGGTGTTTCTCCCGTATGTATTCGCAGATGTGTACGCATCTTGTGCTCATACTGGAAGTGTTTCCCACAAATTCCACAGTTACTTCCTCGGGGTTCCTTTTTGCCCTGTGCAGTGGGAGCGTTGGGCGCAGTGGGTTTGCTACAAGGAAAGCAAGTGATATTTTAGAGAATGAAATTTCTACAGATTTTAACACATTGATGATTTGACTCACCCTTTACACGTTCTGTGTGTCTTCGTCATAGTTACTCAGAGGAAAGAGCAAAGAAACCTCGACAATTAAGCCCTTCTTCGATAACAGAAGTGGAGTTAAGCATTAGGTTAGGTTAGGCCACAATACACGCCGCCCGCCCCGCTACCCCGCCACCCTGCTACCCCTCCCCTCCCTCTCCCGCAGCTTCCCCTCCCGAGCTTCCCCCACCTCCCCTCCTCGTTTGTTGTCCGGCAGCAGACGACGCTCCTAACCTAAGTTTGAAGAAGTGACATGATGTAAACAACTGGTCACAACTGGCTTCTCCAAGAACAATGGCTACAATGACATTCAAAGACTACTCTGTGTTACAAAGATATCAAGAAAGTATTAAGAAAATTAGGCGATTCGGTTTGAACTCAAATTTATCTGAGCGGGAAGTTAATAATGCCATGGATCAGTGTCTTAGATCACTTCTTGATAAAGAGAATGAATCGAAGTCCAAAACAAGAAAATATGGGCTTTTCTCAATTATTCAACTAGGAACCACTGTCCTTAAAAAATTAGCTTTCGTTTCTTTAGTCTGCCTTGTTACTGGTTTGGTCCTATATGGTCTGCTTCAGCACAAACCTATTCAATACTTCATTCAAAGCAACTTGCAGGATTTTATATATCCTGGGATGAAAATTCTTAGAAAGCTATCGTTACCTTTGATATCACTGTGCCCTTCTTTGACAAGTAAGTTTGCATCAAGAAATTGAACTTATCTTTTCTTCACGCAGATTGCAGAGTGTGTTATTAACAAAAAAAAATTATTTGCAGAGTTTTACGACGAAAGCTGCCTTGTTGTCAACCCATTCTTTCGTGTGCCTGACATGCCTTGCCCTTGTGAAGATGTGCGTGCTGTCCTTAATTTAACAGGAGAAAATTTACAACAAGAACAATACCATTCTGGTATCCCCTTCCTGGTCAAGGTACTCTTTCAAGCCTGTCAAGGTTTTTGTTTATTTTTCTCTTGTTCATGTGTTCAACACTTTTAAAAGCATTCGCCTTGATGTCGCCCCAGGTTGACCGAGTAGATGTTTCTTGGGAAAGTCTGAAATCTTTATACCTAAACAATAGCATTGTTTTCGACCGTGATGCATCCCAGGTGACTATTTCAAGACCTTCCAGCCATGGATCAGCAGTGACCCCAAACACTATTTTCAACATGAATTGGGACGAAAGTGATCGTGAAATGGAACAGTCTCATATTCAATGGTACAATGCCAGTAATTAATCAAATCAAAATTTCAAGTTCAAATCCTATTAACATCTAGTTCTTGATCAGGAGATGTAACCGCATGGAGCCAGCCCGCTTGCTGCGGTCTGTGTTTGGCGTGCCTTCACATGAACCAACATATGCTGCTGGAGTGACCATTGAGAAACTACTCATGATAGATGGCCCAAAAGCTCCTCTTTATCGTTTGGTAAGTAATTTTACCTTCTCTCCTGACTTTATCTTATCAATGATTTACCTTTTAAATAAATTCATTTGAAATTTTCATCCCACAGCCAACCACAGATGGTACAACTGTCTTCATTCAACAGTCAAGTGGCTCTAGGATAATAATTCTGACACCCGCACACGAGTGCAAGGAGAAGTGTTCTGCCGTGTCTGTTGATTTACCGTCTGGCCACATCTGTTAGTATTAACACCTAAACTATCCAGATGTATAGTGCGTATGACTTAATTTAATTAATCCATATTTCTTCTTTTCTTTGCAGTGTGGTTTAGCTGGTGGTACTGGAGAGCTAGCAGTCTTCCATCGCCTACCGCAATTTCCATGGGCATTTCATATGTCGGTTCTTACCTGTGAAGTATCGTCACCAGCTTCCCCGGAACTCTTACTACGTATTTATTTTTTAAAATTTATTTATTTAGTTATCTATTGATGAGTTGTCTGTCCATAAATGTCCTTCGCAGTATTACAAGATTCTAAGAAACGCTAGCCGTCGTTCTCTCTCAGACTCACCGCAAACCAGCCGGGAAGCTACGAGAGCGCCCGGCAGGTAGGCAACCCATTCGACACCTTGGCAGCTGCCTTGCTGCCTTCCTGCCAGGCGCCCCATGCATTACCATTACCATTACGGGCTAGACCACACATGATCGTATGCCGTTTCGGGCCCGACACAAGCTCGCCTGCACTGCAAAACGAGACGTGGCCGTCCTTACTAGGGTGACACTTTATACCGGCGGAGACGAACCTCAAGCGGCTCGAAGCTCCCACTCGCAATATGACCAGTCCGGGAGGAGGTATACATCCCCCGGGAGGGATTGCAGGCCTCCGCCCCAGAACAGCCTCTTGGAGTCTGCAGTGACGGGGGCGGGGTGTCTTACAGTGAATCACGCAGGCAGAGTCAGTCGGAAAATGTGACGCCCTGCAGGGGTGCCTCACGAAAGCGCGTGTTGACATGTCGGAGTGCCTCCTGCCGGCCAAGACGACCAAGACGGACAGCACGGACGGCGGGCTGTCGGACAGCGGAGATGACGAGTGAATCAAAGAAACTGCTCCGCGCTCCGCAGTGCAGCGTCTAGCGTCTCACTCGGAGCGAGCGAGACGGAGCGACGGAGCGGCTCCGCTCCGCAGTGCTCAGCAGGACGTACGCGGGGACAACCTGCCTGTTATGTTCACGGGATGGCCGGTCTCTGTCTCTCTTTCTCTCACTGCTCGCTACTTGCTACAGAAACGCCACCTTTTTCCCGCTGCTGGCCTGCGGCAGGCGGCCGACGGATCCAGTCTCACTCAAACTGCACGCTTCATGTTGGCGGCACTGCCGCTCGGCTGTCTCTCTCGTACTCGTGGGCAGTCCTGCAGCAAAGCGAGAGGGAGGCAGAGCGACCGTCCGCGGGCCGCAGGTCCAGCCCGCAGGTCCGCAGCGGCAGCGCCTTGCAAACAAACCATTAGAGTTCCGCGCGCGTCCGTCTGCAAGGCCCTGGTTTCGCGCGCTTTGCCGTGCTGTACCGGCGGGGCTGGCGGCGCACAGTGGGCCAGAAGACCGGTGGAGGCGGACAAAACTCCAGACGCGGTTTGAGCTCCACGGTCGCTAAACAGGCCTCGAACCGAACGTGTGACCCCACCAATGGACTCCTCGTTCGGAGAGCAATCCATTGGTGGGGGTCACACGTTCGGTTCGAGTCCCATTTAGCGACTCTGGAGCTCAAAACGCGTCAAGAGTTTTGGCCGCCTCCACCGGTCTTCTGGCCCACTGAGCGGGGCTGGCGGTCGTCTTTGAGGGAAGCACTCGGAGAGACGGAGTGGGACTTTAGATCGCGGAATCGGCGGCAGGGCACTGGTAGGCAACGGCAGGCAACGGCCGCCGCATCCGTCGATACAGTTCCTGCTTTGGAGGGAACGGCGCCACCGGACCATTTTCCCGGCCGTTTTTCTGCAGCCGGAGCTTCGCTTGCGTCGCTTGCCGCGCTAGCTTCGCGAGGCGGGGCTGCTGGCGTTGGGGAGTAATTGAGATGGGCAGACGGCTGCATTTTCAATTTTTAGGACGGTTCAAAATGAAAACTCTGCATCCTTGGCTGTCTGTATGGGTGGGGAGGCCTCCTGCTTTAGACACCGCACATTGCGCCAGAAGACCGGTGGAGGCGGCCGAAAATTGCACACGCGTTTTGAGCTCCAGACCAGAGTCGCTAAACAGGACTGCAACCGAACTTGTGACTCCACCAATGGATTCCTCGTTCGGAGAGCAATCCATTCGAGTACCATTTAGTGACTGGAGCTCAAAACGCTTCTAGAGTTTTGGCCGCCGCCACCGGTTTTCTGGCCCACTGCGGATCGAGCGGCAGTGCCTCTGGAGGCAGCCTCTGCGCAAGCCAGGCCTGCTTCACCGTAAAACACTTCATTACACTCTTCGACGTCACCGCGTCATCGCGACCGCTGTGTCGGTCCGGCCGGAACGAAGGAACGCGTCGCCGCACTGGAAGGCAACCGGTCGCTCGGGGTAGCGACCTCAAGGCCGTGCACGACCACTGGACCAGCCACACGGCCACGCAGGTAGGCAAACATTCCCCGGGCGAGAGGGTTGCCGCACAGTGGGCCAGAAGACCGGAGGAGGCGGACAAAACTCTAGACGCGTTTTGAGCTCCAGAGTCGCTGAACAGGCCTCGAACCGAACGTGTGACCCCACCAATGGACTCCTCGTTCGGAGAGCAATCCATTGGTGGGGTCACACGTTCGGTTCGAGTCCCATTCAGCGACTCTGGAGCTCAAAACGCGTCTAGAGTTTTGGCCGCCTCCACCGGTCTTCTGGCCCACAGTGTGCCGGCCGCAGCCCGCCAGGCAAAACTCCTGCTGAGATAAGCTCCGGCATTGCCTGCCTTGCCTGCCAGGCGGTTGGCTCTTATTTTTTAGTGAGCCTGCCGTCACCGCCTGCCTTATGTGGCCGCTGGCAGCAGACTGATTCCGAGAGTCGTTTTCGTCGCTCTGTCTCTCTCCCACCGACACAGGGACGCGCCCCGCGAGTGCGAGAGGGACAGAGCGAATGAGTCTGCAGCAGGCGCCGGCTCCGAATCGCGGCGGCGCGGCGGCCATTAACCGTTCCAGTTACAATTGCGGCAGTATTGCGATTCAGCGAAGAAGGCGAAGAAGGCCCTCCACTCGGAGACGTCGCAGACGCGCCGCGAGGCGAGGCGAGGCGCGTTCAGTTACGCGGCCCAAGCAGCCAATCAGCGACGCATGGCCGCGCTCTGTCTCTCTCGCACCCGTGCGGGACGCCCCGTGAGTGCGAGAGAGACAGACTGACCAGGCCCACTGCAAGCCCATTGCGTCAGTTGATGTTTCTGTCTCTTTTCGGCAAAGGTGCGGAAAAACACAGTGGACCGCGAAAAGAAAGTATAAAGTGAAATGAAGTGAATTGGCGAAGTTGCCGGTTTCGGTTTGCGAGTCGGAGTGGCGTGAGTGACCGGTGCCGGGCCGCGGGGCCGCGGGGCCCTGCTACACAGCATTTAAATGGCCAGTGTTACTCCGCGGGGAAGACACGGGATGATGCCCTGGCACTGCCGTGGCCGTGGAATCCCGTTCTTTCGGCACGTGGTCGGGCTCACTCGCGGAGAGAGAGAGAGAGAGAGAGAGAGAGAGAGAGAGAGAGAGAGAGAGGAAGGGGGCAAGGGACCCGCGGGCGCAATGGTTTCGCGGAGCGGCCGTCGATTAGCGTATCAGAGTCGCGTGCGTAATAATTGTTGTCGAATGGCGCGGTGGACTCCACATGCCCCGCCCCGCCCCGCCCCGCCCCGCCCCGGTGCCACGCCCCGCGCGCGGCTACACGGCGGCGATGCCATGGCGACGCGACGCGGCCGGTAGTTACGCATCTAACGGAACCTATCACACAGGTTCATCTCGTCTCGCCAAGTCTCCGCTGGCCGGGCCGGCACTGCCCGGCTCTGGCACGCGGCATCCCATCCCGGTCCATTTCATCCCACTGGACCATGCCAGCAGAGAGTCGTCGCTCTGTCTCTCTCGCACCCGTGCGGGCCTGGGCGGGCCCCTGCGGGACGCGCCGTGAGTGCGAGAGGGACAGAGCGGCACTGCTACCGCCATAACAGCAGCAGTGCCATTGGATGCCTCGATGCTGCATTCTGTATCTGCCTTCTGTCGCCCTGGGAAGAGGCAGGATGAGGACGTGGTGAAGGCGTGCCCGTTCCCAAACCTACACCGTAAATTTTTCTTTTTGTAAATTAATTTTATTGGGTGTTGTACTGGTGATCACAATAAAACAGTCACAATTGGCGCAATCCGAAATCGGAACAGGAAACAGGGAAAAAAAGTTATGTCAGAAGTGGGATTTGAACCCACGCCCTCATTCGAGGACCAGAACACTCGGCTCTCCGTGCGGGAGCAAGGTTTGCGACCTTGAGTCTGGCGCCTTAGACCGCTCGGCCATCCTGACATGCGTGGTGGAGGCGCGGGACGGACGGATGACTATCGCCACCGCGGCGACCGCGTCGGCGAGCATCCATCTCCCCACCACTTTGGCGCGTAAACACGTCAGGGCGTGGCGGGGCGGGGCGGGCCCTTTGAATTCGAGGTTAGGGTCACCCTGATGCTAATCTCCAACCGGCCCTTCTCCCCTTCCCGCGTAAAAATAAACGCGACATTAGCCTTTTCATTGGACGAGCCCTGTGCAGACCTGCCCTCCAAGAGCCCTTCGTGGCGTGAAGCCAGTTGCAGCTGGTCTGACCGCCACACCACCACTATTTGCTGGACTTCAAAGCAACAACAACAACAACAACAACAACAACAAGCCGTTGTGAATGCCAACACTTTCTACCCACCTCATTGCGCTCGTTGCAGCGCCGTGCATGAAACCCGGACGTAATTACAGTGATGGGTTGTTGCAACTTATTATTGGATTACCCCCCTGCACAGTGGGCCATAAGACCGGTGGAGGCGGACGAAATTCTAAAACGCGTTTTGAGCTCCAGAGTCGCTAAATGGGACTCGAGCTGAACGTGTGACCCCACCAATGGACTCCTCGTTCGGAGAGCAATCCATTGGTGGGGTCACACGTTCGGTTCGAGTCCTGCTTAGTGACTGGAGCTCAAAACGCGTCTAGAGTTTTGGCCGCCTGCTGGTCCTCTGGCTCGTTGTGCTCTGGTGAAGCTTATCAATCATCAGATCATGGGTTCGAACAATCGATGCTATTTTTTTCCCGTTTTTCGATACGTTTTTTAGCGAATCGTTGAACCCCGCGAAAGGAATAAACTTCTCCAGAGTGGACCGTGGCCTCGCCGCCGGACAGCCATGGTGGAATGCCACTCCACGACGGCGAGCTACGCGACGCTACGCGACGCTACGCCACTGCCATCTTGTTTACCTCTTTTTTCCGATCTCTACCACGACGCGGACAGGGGAACAACCTTTCATAACAGTTACACTCGAGAGGACGAAAAGTCGATTTATCGATTTGGGCCGATCGATTGGCCGAATTTGATCCGAGTGGCCGGCAAAGCCGAGAGTGAGGTGCCGTTGTTGCTACCTTGTTGTTGTTTCGTTCGAGTCACGTTCGATACCTCGATGCTACGCCCGCTGCTCCTCGCATTCCGCGTTTCAATTATCGCCCTGGCACCAGTCGGGCCGTGTGTCTCGCAGTGGCGCGGCGTCTCGAAGGGGTGCGAGAGAGACGGAGCGACGAAAGCACTGCCCGGAATCGTCCTTGGCCTTGCCTTAGCCGACCGGTGGAGGCGGTCGAAATCCCGGACGCGTTTTGAGCTCCAGAGTCGCTAAATGGGACTCGAACCGAACGTGTGACCCCACCAATGGATTCCTCTTTCGGAGAGCAATCCGTTGGTGGGGTCACACGTTCGGTTCGAGTCCCATTTAGCGACTCTGGAGCTCAAACCGCGTCTAGAGTTTTGGCCGCCTCCACCGGTCTTCTGGCCCACTGTGCGTTCTGGCAGCGGTGACCCCGTGCCCCGCGTTGGCCGGTCCGCGCTGACCACCTGCTTCGCGAACTCGTCCGGGAAGGCGCTGCCGGACGACACCCACGCCTAGCACACTGTGCGGCCCGCCGGGCCAATCAGGGAAAACAATTAAGGAACGCCATTAAAAATTAATCGCCTTTCGCTTTGCGGGCCGCGAGGGCCACGGCGGGCCGCTTGCAGGGGCAGGCCGCCAGACGGGCCGAGGTGCGAGGCGACCCGCTCGGACGCCGCGACCCCGGCACGTGTTTGGAGCTGGCCGGTGCGGGCCGGCGCCAGCGGGGAGCGTCTCTCCCTCGCACTCATACGGGACGCCGCGTGAGTGCGAGAGAGGCAGCGCGACGAACACGACTCTCGGAATCCGTCTGCCGGCCTAGCGGCACTAGAGGACTCGCACCCTGCTTGACCAGCCGGGCCTAGTCGGGCCTGGCCGGGCCACGGGGGCCACGGAGTGGACAGGACGGCGGGGCACAGTGGGCCAGAAGACCGGTGGAGGCGGTCAAAACTCTCGACGCGTTTTGAGCTCCAGAGTCGCGAAATGAGACTAGAACTGAGCGTGTGACCCCACCAATGGACTCCTCGTTCGTAGAGCAATCCATTGGTGGGGTCACACGTTCGGTTCGAGTCCCATTTAGCGACTCTGGAGCTCAAAACGCGTCTGGAGTTTTGGCCGCCTCCACCGGTCTTCTGGCCCACTGTGCGGGGACCGCGCGCTGGAAACAGGAAGCGCGTCGGCAACGCCTCGGCCTGCCGGAAGGCCCTCGGCAAGACCTAGCAAGGCTTACGCTCCAGCGTCGAAAGGGTTGCCAACCTCAGCGAAGACTCCAGGGAGCGCCTGACCATGACAGAGTAGGCAGCGCCGCTCAACTCCCCTGCGCGAGTGTTGCCTACCCCGCACTTGGCAGGGGCTCCGCGCGCCTGCGGACGGCAGGGTAGGCAACACTGCGCGACTCCCGTGCAAGGTTTGCCTACCCCGCACTTCGCAGGCGCCCCGACTGGCCGGCCCGTGTCTTAGCGAGAGGCCCTACAGCGGAACACAGTGGATTGTGGGGCCGAGCCGTTCGCTGTCAAACGGCACCGGTTTCTGATGCAAGCGCCACCCTTTGGCACGGAGGACACTCGCGTGTTGCCCAAACGGTGTCGCTCTGTCTCTCTCGCACTCGCGAGGCGGTGCGCAGGGGTGCGAGAGAGGCAGAGCGACAAGCATGCTAAGGAGGCCAACCCGTCATTAACGCCACCCTTATGTCACGGTATCTCCGGAAAGAGTTCGGAACTCGCCTCGCCCAGGGCGTCGCCAGGGAGTCGCACAGTGGGCCAGAAGACCGGTGGAGGCGGCCAAAACTCCGGACGCGTTTTGAGCTCCAGAGTCGCTAAATGGGGCTCGAACCGAACGTGTGACCCCACCAATGGATTGCTCTCCGAACGAGGAATCCATTGGTGGGGTCACACGTTCGGTTCGAGTCCTATTTAGCGACTCTGGAGCTCAAAACGCGTCTAGAGTTTTGGCCGCCTCCACCAGTCTTCTGGCCCACTGTGCGTCGCTCCGAGTGTCAAGGCGGCGATGGGGCGAGTGACGGCGAGACGGACAGACGGCGTGACATCGAGTCGTCGCGTGCGCGCCGCCACGTCTGTCCACGCGCGCCGCCGCTCCGCGTGACACGTTTCGTAACGCGACCGATCGCAAACAGCAGGGAGGCTGATGATGGGTTGCGGGGTCAGTGACAGGCCGCGGCACAGTGGGCCAGAAGACCGGAAGGGACAATTCTCGCCGCGCGTTTTGAGCTCCAGAGTCGCTGAATGGGACTCGACCAGAACGTGTGACCCCACCAATGGATTGCTCTCCGGACGAGGAATCCATTGGTGGGGTCACACGTTCGGATCGAGTCCCTTTCAGCGACTCTGGAGCTCAAAACGCGTCTAGAGTTTCGGCCGCCTCCACCAGTCTTCCGGCACACTGTGCGTCGTGGGAATGTGCTTAGGTGGCAGCGCTGCACCAGGGCGACGTACTTGTCCAGGTCCAGGCTGCGGCCGCCAAGGCGCGCCAAGGCCGCGGCCAGCGCTCTATTCACCTGCCGGGCCTGGAGCCTGGAGCCTGGAGCCTGGAGCCTGGAACGGGCCGCGGCTCGGTGCACTCATTTGATGTTCCTGACCGGCGAGCCGGGCCGAGCCGAGCCGAGCCGAGAGGCCTGCTCGGGATCCTCCGGGGGTCCGGTACCGGTCCCCGCGGGCCCCTGGGCCCCTCCACGCCCCGCCGCGCCACGCCCCACCACGCCTTGCCGCGTTCCAGCCGGCCAGGACTCCGATCGTCTGGTGCAGGGGGCGTCGGGGAGGGAGGGGGGGGGCTTCCATCTGGCCAGTGGCCGGCGCGGGCCGCGACGCGCCACGACGCTAGTGCTCCTCCGGCCGGCAGGCACCTCGCGACGCCTCGACGCCGCCGCCGCGCGCCCGCGTCCCGCATTCCGACAAGTGCCTCACGCTGCCGGCAAACTCTCGTGTGCGCCGCCACCATGTTGGCCTTCCTCTTCCAGCTGTCCATGCTGTTCGCCGTGTTCGTCATGATGCTCTACCTCGTGCTGCGGCTCGGCTGTCGCTACGTCGTCGGCATGTGCAGCTAGAGGCCTCGGCCTCCGGCACCTCAAGTGCCTCGTGACAGTGTTGTCGTCCCCCGGGACTTGTGACTGGCGTGTCCTCTGCCGGGACTTGTGACTTGCGTGTCCTCTGCCGGGACTTGTGACTTGCGTGTCCTCTGCCGGGACTTGTGACTTGCGTGTCCTCTGCCGGGACTTGTTTTCGCTGTTGCCCGTCTGCTTGCGTACCCACAGGTAAGAAGTCAGCGACATCAAGACAGATGAAGGAGGGACACACAATTGGAGTCTGTCAATGGAAGCTCTCCGGCCACCTGCCTGTCTGTCTGCCTGTCTGTCTGTCTGTATGTCTGTCTGTTTGCCTGTCTGTCTATGTCTGTCTGTCTGTCTGTCTGTCTGTCTGTCTGCCTGTCTGCCTGTCTGTCTGTCTGCCTGTCTGTCTGTCTGCCTGTCTGCCTGTCTGTCTGTCTGTCTGTCTGTCTGTCTGCCTGCTGCAGACGCCGGAGTGACATCGCGCGCGTGCCGCCTTGTGTTTGTGTCGGCATGCCAGCCTACCCGTGCTGCCGTGGGGGGAGTTGGGCTGACCGTGCCGAGTCTGGTCGCCGGTCCGCCAACACGTAATGGCAGCAGGCCGCAGTGGCCCTTGGAGCCCCCAGACCCGCGTCTGTCGAGACAGCGGACAGGGAAGTCAGCCGTGGATTGGCGGCAAACCCACTCAGTCCATTCTGAGCGCGAAAACCATTTCTCGTTGAACTCGCAGTGACGCACAGTGGATTTGCCAGAAGACCGGCGCAGGCGGCCAAAACTCTCGACGCGTTTTGAGCTCCAGAGTCGCTAAGCCGGACTCGAACCGAACGTGTGACCCCACCAATGGATTCCTCGTTCGGAGAGCAATCCATTGGTGGGGTCACACGTTCAGTTCAAGTCCCATTTACCGGGAAAGTTTTAACTTCTAACTAAGTTTGAACCAACTAGTTTCATCAAGTGAATTATAAGGGTCCAAGAAACCACTTTTTTGGGTGCGGAGCGGAGAACAGAAACTGCGAGAAAGTTAAGACGGCGAGTTGTTTTTTCTCCCCCTGCCGCCGCGCTGCCGCCGCGCTGCCGCCGTGTCCCCGAGTGTCAACACTCGAATCGCCAGCACACTGTCCTGTCCGCGTCTCGGCGCGCAGAAAGTTCTTCCTGCGGACACATTTCTGGCACGCGCAATACATTGATGTTCCTTGAAAGGCGGCGAGCGACCGTCTTTCCGCTAAGTCCTCTTTTTTTCCTTTTTTTTTCTATCCGACGCCGATGAACCGCGGCGCTGGATGCCTTCGGCTGCTTCGGCAGACGACCGGCAAGAAAAAGGAGGGGGGGTGTCCTTTGGAACGGGGAGCGCTCCGAGCAGGCCGTGCGAGCCATTTTAAAAGCTAAACCGTGGGTCGTGGGTTCGAATACCGACGGTCTGTTTTCCATAAATTCCTGGCGGGAGCTCCGCGGGGCCCAGGTGGTACCCACGTGGGTTCGAGTACCGGCCGAGGCGGATTTTATTGTCTCGCTCTCGCCCGGTCCAGGAGTCCTGAACAGTCATGGAGTGTCCTGGGCGTGTTCCAGAGAGCACAGGAGTTTCCTGGAGTGTCACTGGAGGTTCCTGGATTTTTCTGAAGTGTCCTGGAGGTTCCTGGAGGTTTCTGGAGGTTCCTGGAGTTACCTGAAGTGTCCTGGAGTGTCCTGGAGCGTCCTGGAACTGGAATTCCGACCGGAATGACCGGGAATCGGCCGGAATCGGCCGGCGGTGTCCGCGCCACTGCTAGAGTCCCCCGTATTTAGCGAGTGGACACCGCCGACGGCGCCGACGGGTTGTCCGCCGGGACTGTGGATGCTGCTGGGTTCAGGGAAGGCAGGAAATCGACGCATCGCTGAAGCGCATCCGTTAGTTGGAAACCTCAGTAAACAAGTTGAAAACGAGAAATTCGTTGATGAACCTGCTAGTTGACACGAGGAGAGCGTGTGTCGTTTGAAATACTAGTGAGAGGGAGGCTGGAAAGCCCGCGAGCCAATACAAACGCACATAACATTTTCTGCATGAAAAAAAAAAACCTGTATACTGCGGTGCACCGGAGCCAATCAGGGCGAAGATAAGAAGCTCTTTGATCGGCGCGTAATGAATGACGTCATAGCGCAACAAATGCGATTTTTCCCCCCTCTCGCCAGATTAATACGGGGATGCCGTTTCAGGTTATGAGACAAAGCTTTAAAATTATGCCGCGCCATTCCGCTCGAGTGGGCGACGCGGGCAAATCGGGCTGGAAAGCTTCTCCAGCTGTCCGGAACGCTGGAACGGCCTGGAACGGCCTGGAACGCTGGAAGGCAGGGACCCACACTTACAGTGGGACGTCCCTCGGCCGATGCAGCGGGGAAAAGTTGTCCGGGCGGCGGTGCCATTTTCGCACGCACCGCGGGCCTATTGAGATTATCGCACACGGCTGGACAAGCGAGTAATCTTCCTCTCCAGCGTCGCCGGCTGGCTGGAGGCGAGCGCACACTGTGAAGAAAACACAGGCAGCTCCAGAGTCGTTAAATGGGACTCGAACCGAACGTGTGACCCCACCAATGGATTGCTCTTCGAACAAGGGATCCATATTGCCCGGGCGGAAGGATCTGCAGTTTAAACTACATTGAAAAAGTATAGATTTTTTTGTAATGTTAAACTTAATTTTTAAATACTTTTTTTCATACTTTAAATTATTTTAATGTATTGTATAATTGCAGGTAAAGTGTAGTTCAACTACAGTTGAAGTGTAGTAAACTACAATTAAACTGCAAAAAAAGTACCAGTTATTTCGGACAACTATAGTTTTTGACCCAGGTTGTCCTAGTCTTCAGATCAGTTGACTATAGTTCAAAGTACAGTTTTACTGTAGTTTAGTTACACAGCCAGAGTTAGTTCAAAAGAGAAGACAATCTGCAGTTTGAAATTTTGGTTCAAAATTCAAAATTTTTAAATTTTGAACCTTGTTTTGAGGAGACTCTTCCTCCCTCTGACCCCTTAGGCGATTGACTTCGTGTTAATTGTGTGTTTTGTTTGGATGTTGCCGGGAGTTGAACCTCGGACCCATGGCTTGTGAAGCAGAGACCTTGACCACTGCACTACTGAGCTTCCTTGAGGATAGGGGCTTGGCTACTCGACCACATGGAAAGGCCGGCTTTCCTCAGGAACTAGAATTTAACTGCTAGAAAACTACAGTTTTACCGTAAGCCACTCTGTACTAGGAGTGAAATTCACTTGTCCTTAATGTAATTTATAATGAATTTGTCTCAGAAACCAAGACACCATGGAGTGATTTAATTCAGAGAGCCTTCAAGGTCTTAATTTTCAACGACTGGAGTCGTTACCTTTTTAACTTCTGAGACGCACTGTCCTATAATGCTTCCTAGTTTTACTGTCTGACATTTTATCATCCAGTCATAATGAATTTGATGCCACTTAGTTTGACCTTGTTTGGCGACAAGCTGGCTAAATTTTGTGGCTTGTTGATTTCTATGATACTTTGTCACATGCTACCTGACCAATACGGAACATTATAAAATAAGCAAACAGATAACCAGATAGTATTTTAAGAATTGGTTACATCCAGCCATATAGGTTTTCATATGAAAGTTTAGTCGTGTCTTCTAAAAGTCTGCAACGTCAAGTATTTCAACGTAAACCTTTAAAAGAAATAACTGAAACTTCTAAGAGATATTTCCTTTTCAACTCTTATATTATTTTAATCACTCAATGTAATTTATTTTGTTTCTTCATTTCAAGTTGCAGTGCTTGACATCTTAAACTATGCCTTAATCGAAAAATTACTACAAATTGTAGTAAACATTCAACTAGTTTGTCATTGTGTAAAAAGGTATGAGCAGAAACTTTATTTCCTTTGTAGATCCTGCTGCAGATATAAGTGTAGGCGGATCTTCAGTAGTGGACTATTAAAGTAGAGTAGTATTAAAAAACTTTTAACTTCACTTTTTAACTACAGATAGTACTTAATACCTGGTCAATAAATAGCAGTTCAGTTAGAAAGCAGTTTGCATACACAGCAAACTACAGATCCATAAGCAAACTGAAACTGGACTTATTCTGCACTTTGTTCTTACCAAAAACTGCAGTTCAGGAACTGTAGTTTTGGCACTATAGTTTAAACTGCAGTTTCACTACAGATCCTTCCACCCGGGTGGTGGGGTCGCACGTTCGGTTCGAGTCCCATTGAGCGACTCTGGAGCTCAAAACGCGTCTAGAGCTTTGGCCGCCTCCACCGGTCTTCTGCCCTACACGGCAAAAGTACCGCCTGGGATTCCCAGGCGCATCATAAGGAAAAGGGCCTATTTTCCAGGCACCGCCTGGGAATCCCAGGCGGTACTTTTGCCGTGTACTGTGGGGCAGGACGATGACGTCAGGGGGTTGACGTCGGCAGAGGGGGCGCAGCAGAGCAAGGGCAGCACGGGAGCTGCGTCGCGCTGTGCTGTTACGAGGGTGCGGCGAAGCTAGAGGTGCCGACTGGCGGCATCCCCCGCGGCACGCGTGCGCACGCCGGACGGTATTACACAGTCCGCCGGGTGGCAGCCTGGTGGCAACCTGTCCGTTTCCGATTTCTCCCGACGTGTTTTCACTGGCGCACCGCGTCCCGGGAACGGCGTTCTGGGCGTAAAAAAGGCATCGCATCGGGTGCTTCGGGACTGCGGGGCAGTCCCGCGTTCAAGTCTCCTCCTCGTCCACATACTGACGTAACAGCGGGGCGCGCTGTCTCCCTCGCACCCCCACGGGACGCCGGGACGCGCCGTGAGTGCGAGAGAGACACAGCCTGACAGTGCTGCCTCCACCTGCCTCCAATTTGATGTCTTTCCTTATTAGTCATCGGAATGTAACGCGGTGTAACGGCGTCTCCTTTGGATTTTGTTGTTGTTGTTGTTTCTGTTGTTTCTGGACTTCGCTGTCACTTCAGACGAGTGGGGCCAACGCACTAACGCGTTGCATCAAGATTTCCACATGTATCCTGCTTTTTTGTCTTTTTTTCTTTCTTTTTTTTGGGGGGGGTGGGGGGGTGGAGATGCGTCCTTTTAGTCTTTTAGCTGTGAGAGCGCAGTGTGTGTGTGTGTGTGTGTGTGTGTGTGTGTGTGTGTGTGTGTGTGTGTGTGTGTGTGTGTGTGTACGGTACATGCATCAGTGACGCATGTGTGACTGTTGAAACACTATTAGTTGAGTCACC